CTTCCCTTTCTGTTTCTTTTTTCTTTTTGGTGTTTTGAGACAGGGTCTTCGTGTAGCCCTAGCTGGCCTGGAACTTGCTACATAGACCAGACTGGTCTGGATCTCACTGAGCTCCATCTGCCTCTGTCTCCTGAGTGCTGGGTTTAAACGCATGCACCACCATACCCAGCCCACTATAAATGTTTTGAAATGGTTGCATAAATCCCAGAGGATGGACATACATAATTTTTTGCATACATTCAGTCATCCTTCACTAATTCAGTGCATATTTATTAAGTACCTAGCAGGCAGCAGTTACAGGTGACCAGAATGACAAAGCAAAGTATCTATCTTGATGCAGATTATATTTTAGCATTCTAGTTGGAGTATAAGGTATGTAATAACTAAGCAAACAAAACCACATAAGCAACTGAGGAGCAAACTCAACATTCCATAGTGTGGCAGGCTCCAGATGTTTAGATGCTAAGTCAGTAGAGGTCTGTTGAGAAAACCATAAAACAAAGGATGGGAGTGTTAAGATGTAGGCCCCTAAGAATTTTGGCTCAGCAGACCCTTCTGAGACCCACACCTCCAAAGGCACATTCTTTTTAGAGGAAGATATGATAGAGATTTTTTTCCTCACCAGACAACAAAGCCTGCAGCCACTTGTTCTCCTGACTGCCAGTCAAGTGACTGGAGTTGAGTTTCAGGATGACTTGATTCAAGATGTACTGCTTCAGAAAAAGAAGGAATAAGTTTATATCCCAAAGGAATGCTAAGCAATGACCAACACATACTGGCAGAAACTGGGGAGTAGAGTTGGAATTATATTCTAAAGCTGCCTGGTGAAGGCATGGAAAGGAAGATTGTACAAGCAAGAATTCATTCACTGGGTGAGATTTTCTCTAGACATGAATTTAATAGCCTAGAATAAGATCCATCAAGATGAACCAAACTTTGGCCTTGGAAATCTGGAGCCAATGAAGACCAATGCTTTGTTATGTAAGAAGGAAGAAAGAGGAACAAAAATGTCCAGGGAAGCGGGGGTGCTCGAATGAGCTACTACACGAAGGCAGATCATTCAGGGTACACATCATTCACCAGTCATCAGGAGGTGCTGATAGGAGGGACCCTCTCTAAGCATCACTAAGAAGCTCAGTGATTAGCTGCCTCTGCACACCAGAGCTGATGGCAGGAGGCATAGTCCTATGGCTGGGGCTGCTAATACCCATGGACATGATGCAGGCTTATAGTGATAAAGACCAGATGGCTTCATGTGCCCTGAGAGGGGACTTATTAAAAGAATTGTCTCAGGGCTGGAGAGATGGCTCAGCAGTTAAGAGTACTGGCTGCTCTTGCAGAGGACCTGAGTTTGATTCACAGCACCCACATAGTAGCTAACAATTGTTATAACTCCAGTTCCAGGGAATTTGACTCTCTCTTCTGACCTTTGTGGGCATTGCATGACGCAGGTGCACTCACATACATATAGGCAATATACTCATACACATAAAAATAGTAAATAAAATATTAAAAAAATAAAAGAATTGTCTCTTGAGGTTATAGTTGATGCAAAGACCCACGATAGGATATCTAGAAGTTGGAGAATCAGAGAAACCAGTAGCTTGGTTCTGTTCATATCCAAAGGCCTCACACCCAAAGGAGTCAACAATGTAACTTCAATTTCAAGGCCAAAGAATTCAGAAACACAGGGAATATTACAAGTCCCAGAATCTGAAAGTCAGTGTGCCAGATAGCTTTAGTTGTCAACTTGACACACCTGGGTTGAGGGAGCCTCAACTAGTGAATTGCCTCCATTGGACTGGCTTGTGGCCATGTCTATGGGGCATCTTCTTGATTACTGAGTGATGTGGGAGTTCCCAGCCCACTGTGTGTGGTGCCACCCTCGGGTAGGTGGGCCTATGTTGCCTAAGAAAGCAGGATGAGCATGAGCCAGGGGAGCAAGCTAGTAAGCAGCATTTCTCCATGGCCTGTGCTTCAGCTCCTGCCTGCAGGTTCCTGCCCTGAGTTTCTACCTTGGGCTCTCTGATGAACTGTGACCTGGGAGATGTAAGCTGAATAAACCCTTTCCTCCCCAAGTTGGTATTGGTCAGAGTATTTTTGTCACCACAATGGAGAAACAAACTAGAATAGAAATTGGTACCAGAGAGTTAGGCATTGCCGTGATAGACCTGACCTTGGTGTTTTTAGGAGGTTGTAGGAGAATTTGTAATTTTGAGCTGGAAAAGCCATTGAGTGTTTAGAGTTTGTTGCTGTGGAGTTTGGAACAGTTATGCTGAAAGAGTTGTAGATGATGGAGGCCTGGCCAGCGAAGCTTCAAAGGGAAGCAGAGACTATCAGGGCTGTTTATGGAATATTTTGAATTGAGAATCTGTGGTTTCTTGTCAGCTGGGGCTGAAGAATCAGCTGTGATTAAAGTGAGACCAGAACCACTGAAGTGAAACCTTTGTTTTACTGGAAAAATTGATGCTGGTTAGTTGGGGCTGAAAAATCAGCTGTAAGAAGAGACCAGCATCACTGTGGCAAAATCTTCTGGGAAATACTTCCTCAGGGTCAGCACAGAAGGTATGTTCCAGAGGGGGCTCAAGCCTCCATCTCAAACTGGAAGCAGGACTTGGTAATGTGTAAGAGTCTCCTGCATGGTTCTGGTTTTTAAAGTGTGAAGGGGTCATAGAGAGCACTGAGGCTTGGCACCCTGAGAGGCCAGGAAAGGCCATTGGTGAAAGTG